GCATTTTGCATAATTTTAAAAAGTTTAAATTTGTTCAGTATTGAACGGCAGAAATTAGGTTTTCTTTTCAGAAGTATATAAAACAAAGAAAAAAAACGTTGGCCGACAGGCTGTAAACAACGGTAGACTTGTGCGTAACAAGCAAGCGAATAATGCAGAAAACAGACAGACAGGGAGAGAGAGAAAGAGAGAGAGAGCTGTGCATGAAATGTGATTTTAACGTGTTGGAAGCAAAACAGCAAAAGTCAGAGTGAAGTCATGACGATGTTTATGTGAAGAGTAGTTTGGATCTTCTTTTGCTGCTGGTTCAGTCAATATTGTTTGGAGAGAGATCAAACTAACAGCTTTATGATCAGCGCAAAAAGGGCGTAAACGCACAGCGCGGACCCGCGGATCAGAATCAGCAGCTGTTGGCTTTCAGCCCCGACCGTCAGCTGAGAAAGGCGACATCTCACTGATTCTGATCCGTCAGCAGGTCCGGCTCTGTGTTTACATCTTTGTGCAGAATCCGTGTTCCTGCTCTCATTTACTGTTTTAGCTGTTTGGTGGTTGTTGCGAGGTTTAACCTGAGATTCTGGCATTTCGGGCAAAATAAATTTATATTAAAAAATCGATTCAGGATTTTAATGAATCGATTTTACGTTATCCAAGCCAGAATCAATTTTAATCGATAAATCGATTATAAAAACCCACCCCTATCTTCATTCTGACGAGGCGATAATGAACACAGTGTACTAAATGACAGGGAGAGAAAGCACGGATCCAACGAAGAAACATTGTGGAGCATGTAGCAGCTGAATGAGATCTTCCTTTGGAACTGTTGGAGAACTAAAAATCTGACTTGTAATCAGTATTAATGCTCTTTTTAAAGCCCTCAGTCAGGAGTCCATGGGCACCCTGTTTAAGGTAAAGATCAGGGATCTGTCAAAGTCTGTTCTTCACAGCATGTTTCAGGAAGGACGATAGATGTAGATGCTGAGGAGACTGGGACAAAACCATCTGTAAAGACTTTGCACCCGTTCACAGTCAGACAGACTGTCTGCAAAGCAAGGAAATTAAAGAACGCTGTGAGCCTCCTCAGCACGGTCGAGCACCACCGATCAGCCCAGCACAAACAGGGATGCAGGAGTTTACAAAATAAGAAGCTAAGCTTAGACCTGCCTCACAGTGTCAAATGTTCATGTTCACGAATGCATGTGGCAGAGATACGAGGAGAAAAGCTGTGCTGCCCATCTGCTGTTTGCTGAAGAGCACACAGATGAGGCAGAGGGCTCTGTCTGAATGATGCTCTGTGGAAATGTCTTAAAGGAAACCTTTGGTTTAGATGCATTACAGCACTGGAACCACATCAGTCACACACGGTCATGGTAGGGCCAAGATTTGGGCTTTCGCCGTCACAGCAGCTCACCTTTATTGATGAGGACTGAATGACAGTAGCAAAGTCAGATGTTAGTGCATCTGTCTGTGGGCTCACAGGAAGTGAAGCAGAAAGAGACTCGCCCTCAGCACATGGCTCATACGTTTAACTGGGTTTGCTTTTCTTTACTCTTATTTATGCTGAAATGCAGAAACATTTAAAGGCATTAGTTCATTTTTTGTCCTTAATATGCTGTAGTTCTTACACTGTAATCTTCTGCATCTGCCCTTCCTTATCTGTCCCACTCTTTCCCCTCATTTAAACTTTCTACCTCCTATTATTTCCCTGATCTCCTCATAAAACCGTCCCATGCTCTGATTTCAGTTTGCCCTCATCGTATCCAAGTCACCCTCTTGGCTCTTATTTCACTTTCTGCCCCCGACATTTAGTTACCCTCTCTCTTCTTTTTACTCTCTGCACGTAGGAGCCGTATCTCCAGTCGGTGTGTGAGTGCTGCAGCTACCGCCTGGACCCGAACACCCCGGTGCGCTTCCTCAGCCTGCAGTGCGAGAGCGGAGAGAGCGAGCCGGTTGTCCTGCCAGTCATACACAGCTGCGAGTGCACTAGCTGCCAAGGTGAGGCATAATGGGGCTGATGGATTTGCATGTCCATTTCTCATGTCAGTGCGAGATTTAAATATATGCAAAACTGTTCAGACAGGCACGAGTGCACACCGGCCTCCACAAGTCAGAGTTTCATCCAATCATCCAGCTTATACACATCAGGACAGTCATGCAGTCATTTTCAGATGTCTCCTGTAAACATCACCAACCAGCAGTGTTGGTCAAGTTACTTGAAAAAAGTAATCAGTAACTAATTACTGATTACTTCCCCAAAAGTAATCCC